AGAGCGCAAGCAGTAAGCTATTACTGCTACTGATTAACCCCATGGAGGTCTTAATCGATGGCTCTCTTTTTTCCAAATCTTTTAATTTAGGATAAAAGCAGTAAGACTGAGGGTGTTTTGGTTTGTGTTTACACATTTTCCTTTTGTGACTTTGCTACCCTTTGGTGAGGCATGTTCGGTAAACATGGAAACACATGAAACGCAACAAGGTGCAACCCTTAACCTGAGCCTTTTTTGTGCTGATAAGGACACATTGTATTATTTATTCAGGTTATTAGTTCCAACATTGAGAGAATATAACACCCTATGCTAGAAAATTAATTATATTAAATTATTTCTCTTTTTTTTGTGTGTGTGTGTCATTAATTTCCATCCACACCAGTCTGAAATTCCAGAAGACTGTTGGATTATTCAGGCAGTATATTAAATAACAAAAGTTATTGTTTCTCCCAATTTGCAACTCAATTCTATGTTGATTTACTTCAACAAGCTTGCAGGCAGTTCACAGAATTTTGCTCCAGCCTGTCACCCACCTTCCTGATATTTTGTTTCCTAGGCTCATTCCCATCTAGTTTTTAAACCACCTATGTTTCAGGGCAAGGTTCATTGTTTCTACATGCCTACTTGTTCCTAGTGCCTGGAAGCAAAGTAGCACACTACAATCTTTAAAGCCCTCCAGCAGGATAACCTTAAGTATTTGTCAAACACTGTAAAGAAGTTGCTTTTGCTCCACTTGAGTTTGCTGCGAAGGAGCTTGACAGTTTCTTGCCCTGTACAGCGTTATCCTCTACGACATTCCGATGCCAATCTTGAGATGTAGGAAGCAGTAACACAAACATTTCTGGTCTTCGGTTTACTATTAACACATACCTCGTTCAGAGAGCTACGAGCCTGCTGTATCCCACTGTGCAGAGATGGCTGGGAACGAAAGTGACCGTCAGAAGCACGGCAATGCTGGCTGCCGAAGTCCGTATCACCTCTACAGGTTTTTGTTGACTCCACCAAGACTTCGAGATCATGAGCGCATCTCTCCGGTTTGTCTAAGGACTCCTGGAAGCCTTCGAAATCACCCCAGGAACTGCTGGGTTCTGAGGTACTAAAGCTGCTCTCAGAAAGCCCCTCACAACTTCTCCCTTTGCTATTTGCTACCGGGAGGCTTTGCTGCATTACTTCAAGATTAACCATTTCTTCGTTAGTTGTCCTTTCATTCAAGTTACAGTCACTTCCATCGAGAGACGTAGCACCAGCTTCGACTGCTAGGTCTTCTAGAGACACCCGGCAAGATGTGTCCGTGTTACTAAGACTTTCTGCTCGTGACGGGTTCTGCATGTTTAAGAAAAATTCATTTGCTGAAATCTGCACTGCAAAAAAAAAAAAAAAAAGCACCACTGAGGTTCAGTTGCATTAGAAACCTGAGTATTTCCAAAACAGAATCAAATTCTTCACTTCACCCCAAAGAATAATAACACTGCTTAACCAAAACAGGGTGTCCTTCAGCCTCTCCTCCAGTAATCAGCATGCGCACCTTACTCTGTGTAGGGTATTAGCCTGCAAAAGAATTATAAATAACTACTTCTGTGATAAGGGCTGCGGAGGAATAAAGAACGATAGCTGATAATGCAGGAGAAAGAATGCTCAGATTAAAATAAACGCGTTTCAGTCTTATACAACTGAAACCCAGCATAAGCCAAGTTATTTAAAATTTACACTCTGCTACCTGCCCACGCTACGAGAGGCGTTACATTGGGGAACACCGCGGAAAACACTTATCAGGAGTTGTGCGATACTGAGTGAGCGTACGGGACAAAAACCAAAGTGACTATAGATAATATCCAACACATTTAATATTTCCCATGGCTATTTATTCCATCCACCTTGCATATACTCCAACCGTGCTCCTTCTGTTCGCGTGGGCTTTCCCCGCCCGAGAGGTTACCCGAGGGGTGACGCGCAGCCACGCGGGAACTGGCCATTTAATCCTGTGAAAAATACAACTTTTCCAACTATTTAAGCAATTAAGGCAGATTTAATGAGCCCGGTTAAGATGTGCAAGTTTTGCAGGCAATACTGCATTACCATTTTAGACTAACCGCATCTCCTGAAGCATTTTTCCGACCGACAAGCTGTTGCGGGGGGGCGAGGCGGGTTAGGAGCCACGCTAAACCCGCTTCTGGAAGCCGGGCCGCTAGCAGATGTTTTCTGTGCTTAACAGAACCGATCCTGAGGGATTTTTCCCCAAGTTCCCGTC